CAGCACTTCATAAAGTCTGTCAATATGACTGTGATCATGATGCAGTGTGTTTGTCAAAGGCTGTGCAGATTATATGCCAAACTATATTTGACACCTCTGAACTAGGGTTTTTCAGTTCCAGGTACCCGGACTCGGACTCGGCGAGTCTGTGGCTTAATACCAGGACCCGATACCCGGTCTAAGACTTGGTGAGTCTCGTGATTTAAACTCCTGGCTTTGTTTTGTACGCAGCTGTCTGTTTTGTGAATCCCCAGCTTTTCTAGGCAGCTGTATCTGATGCCTAATAGCATGCTTAGATAGGGCTGTATTTATACTATTATTAGGGAGGCCCACGGTCAAAAAATTTAATTAAGTTGGCCGTTAGGTCAAAATTGTCAATTAAAAAATTGTTGGGTAAACCTAATCTGGAAAGAGACATTATATAATCAAAATATAAATTATATTATTCACTAATGTATTTTAAAACAATTTTCATTGTTTTTTTAATAATCATTGAAGAAGCTTTTCAAGGTATTTAAAGTGTGCACTTAATAGAAAATATTAATATTGTACATGAGTTGACAAAACACTAAAGCCTATTAAACTAACTGTTAAAGCTCCTAGCAGAAACGATGTTAATCTTGCAACAATTCTATTAGCAATTGATTTTATGTTAAGAAAGTTAAAAGAATCTAATGGTAATTTAAGTAGAGAGCTATTAATGACAATAAAAACTCGAATAAATTGCCATTAAAACCAAGATTTAGAAGAGCTATTAGATTCTCTTGTAAATGGTACTATGCCAAAGAAAATACAAAAACTTACAGATTTATTGAAGAAATTATTCGATAGAAATGAAGAACCGCAAAATACACATTATGAACAGGGACATTCGACTGAATTACTGCATTAGCATCAACACTGGAAGAAAAACTAAATAAATTATTGTATATTAAACACTTATATATTTAGTTTATATTATATATTTTTTTAAAGTACTGTCAAGTTTATTTGGTAATTTAACATAAGTATAATTATATATTAATATATTCAAGTTCGGCTTTGAAACTGGCTAAAATATGTTTTATTTACCGAAAAATTTACTAAACCTATTTTTTTCAATCTAGGGAATGCAAAAAATCCAATCATTCTATTGTTAAAGTTGCGAAGTAAAAAGACACATTAGTTCCGGACCCGAACCCGGACCCGATAAATATTCATAGGCTCGACTCGGACTCGTCAGGTCTAAAAAGGCCGGGTTTTCCCAAACCCTACTCAGAACCTTTTACAGGTACATTTCAGCCAGGGAGTCAGGAAAGCTCAGTATCATAAAACCTCCTTGCACTCCTTACTATGACACTAGAAGATTGTAGCATTGACATACAAACCAAGCCAAATAAGACTCCTGCTGCATTTACAATAAGTCAGCTACTTACTTTTAATTGTGTGAAGCACAAGTGATCAGAGAAATATAACTCTTCTGTTGATAAAAGTAGACAAATCACAAGAAACTCCCCTACTGTATGTTAGTTTGCTTGTACATAGAACTCAAAGAAAATGACCACTTATTGATTAGCTATTTAAACTTGGTTGAAGTGTATCATATGATCAAATACTTACACTGACAACTAAACTATGAAATGAAGTGTGTATTTAATATAACAGTGATCAAGTTGTGTGTCCTCTGAAACTGCAAAACAATTGTTTACTGTTGCAGCTGTTGATAATAATGACCATAAGCCCACAACAACAACATCTCGTGGAACATTCCATGGCACAGCTGTTTCATTAGCTCAGGAGCCTGATAATTACAGTACTGGAGTTCCACACAATGTTATGTTTCTTCTTAGCTCGTGTGGTATTAAAAAAATAAAACCTCTACTGGAATCATAAAGGGTAACATAGATGTTACCCTGGTTAGGCTAAAATGATCAATTAGCTATACTTGTCAGCAGTGGTCCATATACAGATATTGGTGCTGTGTGGGAACAAGAACTCAATAAAGAACATTTGTGGTTTGAAACGGTTTGACAGGTTCATGATGCTGATGGATCAAATAAAAGTTTGCAATCAGTGAAATGTCTTTCATGGTCCGCATACCATGCCAATAAGATTACCAATCCAAATATAAACTTATAAATAGTTTCATTATTGCCACTATTTCAGGATTCTTCCAATAATGTTGTCATGATCTGACACTCAATGGATGTAATAAAAAGTTTTACCAATCATCTTCATCCTAAACAGATCCCTGTTATTATGTTTGATCAACCGCTATATGCTATTGCTAAAGCTATTCAATGGAACTAGCCGTTTGTACGGAGAAGATAATTTTGTTGTTATGATGGGTGGTCTGCATATAGAAATGGCTTGTCTTAAAGTACTTGGTAGCTTATTTAAGGAAAGTGGCTGGATCAAGGCTGTTACTGCAGCTGGAATTGTAACATCAGGCACCGCTAAAGCTCTATTGTCTTCATCCCATGTAAAATATTGTTGATATGTACATGAAACTTCTGTTTCTACTATTCATATATTACTGTATCAGGAATATGAGTTGTATTGTAGTTTGCTCGATAATGGCGTTCCACTGTTGTCTTTCAATAGCTGGTGCATAAAACAAATGGTTCATCCACAGTTTGTTTATTGAAGTGCAGTCAAAAAAATTAAGTTTATTCTGTTTACATTTATTAGGTCTCTGTGTACTTTAAATTTTGATCTATACTTAGATAGCTTGACTAAACTGGTGCCATGGTTTTTTTCACTTGATCGAACTCATTATGCTTGATGGTTATCTGTGCGCATTCGAGACATGGTTTGTCTTTCACAGAATAGTCAACTTTAGCTGCATTTAATGCGGGCAAATTTAATATAATCAACTTTAGTTGCATTTAACGCGGGCAAATTTACAGTTAAAAAAACTATACAAAAATTTTCAATAATCAAAGCCATAAACAATGCAGCGCTGCATTTAAAGCTGATGGTGGTGCAATTGGATTAAGGCAAGATGAACATGCATTATGTTGTTGGATGATTGCAGGACTGGAAGTATCTAAGCTTGTAGAAGAATTTCAATTTGGGATGCGTGGGGCCAATGTAGATTATACATCATGATCAACAGAAAAATATTTAAACAGCTTTAAACAATGTAATGTTTGAAAGCTGTCTGAATATTTTCCTGTTGAATGAATAAAAGATTTAAATGCTCTAGTTAATACATTAGTCAATATGGGCAACCCATTTCAAGATGACAATGAATATCTTGTACTACATAGCAGGCATATTGTGAGCTGTACTGCAGCCAATATTATATCAATTGTGATGTAGGCCAAGCTCAGTACAAAGAATTTGTTCAAAATTGTTTTGTTAACAGAACTGCTAGTGTATATACACCCCTAAAACGTAGCAATCTCTCCCATTTTATAACTCGGTATTTAGCAATGGTGTCACAAATAGCAGGAATTTCTGAGGGATGATCACAACAAAACAGAGCTTTTTCAATTTTTATCTTAAAAAGCAGTTTCAATTCAATTACCCGAGTCACAAATTATAATAGCCACCGTCGGAGAACATGTTCTGTCTTCAAGCTCTTGTACCTTTGAAAATCTTGAAAAATGTTCTCATTAAGAGGTTCAATTTACATGCATATCATGTGTGTAATGCAGAAAAGGCTGGTCACAAGATTAATGGAATATGCTCAGTAGATACAGATCTTCTTAACATAGCAATATCCTTTTGGCGCAAAATATTATGCAATCAGCTGTGGGTTGTGATACAACCTCAGGGAGACCGGCAATCAATGTATCATTGGCGCTTCTGCAATCAATGTATACTTGCTATGATTTATCTTCTCTGAGATTTTGGCAAAAATTAATTAAACGGTTTTAAATTTATTAAGGTTTTTATAAATCCAAAATGGCAGTAACTGCCATCTTAGATTTCAGCCAGTTCTGTTCATGCTATGTAGTGTCACCATATCTTAAGGTAATCAGCATAACTTTCTGAGTTGTTAGTTAAAATTTCATGATTTTATCCATTTGTGCACAATTTCAATTTTTAATACTAATCTGCTGCACTGCCATTTTATTTAAAACAAGACCTGATATATTGATAATTTGCGTGTTTTAAAAAACGCGGTGAAAAAAACCAAACTAATTTAAAGAAAAAATTAAAATAAACAAACCATAAACTGAAAAGAGAAACTTAACAAATGATAAAATAAATAAAGAATAAACCAGAGAAAATAAAAGCATAAAACTAATGTTTTATAATTAAGAAGCGTCTCATTTGATTGCTCAAAGTTAATTGATTTAAAAGCGTTTTAATAGTTTAAAGTTAATTATTTTTCCTATATCACCATGTTGATGTAGCGCATATGTTGAATAATTGTGCCATTTATGAGGCGCAACTGTTATATGGGTATTGGTTGAGGGTTCAAATCCTACTAACGGATAATTTTTTTATGTTTGCTTTGTAGACATTAGAAATATCAAAGTTTTAATGTTTTAATTAAGTTTCGAAGTAATTAAACTTTTATCTAAATTATTTGTAGTTGATCAAATTGACTTAGCCCTTTCTTTTTATCCTTCAGCCAATATTGTGGTTGCTAGTGACTTTAATGCTCATTAAACTGAATGGCTTGGTTCTAGTGTCACCTTTAACACAAATAGTCATCTTTTCAACTTGTTTTCTAGAAAATTGGAATCATTTACTTGAATATGTCAATGTCTTGTTTTTGATCCTAGTCAGTGCTCAGTTTATCTACAGTCACTATAAGGTGCTTCTGATCATGGTTTGATCTCTCTAAAATTACATTCTTTTTCATCATCAGAATCTTCCTATCATTTTACCTCTTACAACTACCTAAAAGCTGACTGGGACTCATTCCATGATTTTTTTTCCGATGACCCATAGAAATCTTTCTGCTGACAAATGTGCTTTTTATGTAACTTCCTGGATTCAGGTTGGCTGGAATCTTTTATTCCCTTTCGGGGATTCCAAGTCAAGCCTCATTCTTCATGGTTTTCCACTCATTGTGCTGCTGCAATTTCCAATTGTAACCATTACTTCTATAAACCACTGTAATAAAGTTTTGTCCAAAAGCCCGCTATTCTTAGGTTATGAAATCTTGTATTTTATCTCAAAAGTTAGGCTCCCGAGACTTCTGGAGAATCTTTAACAGATTCTCTGTTATTCCACCTTTCTTGCATGGTTTAGATTTTGTTACCTCACTTAATGACAAAGCTGAATTGTTTGCTAAGAAAAAGCTAAAAGTTCTTAGCACATCAGAAGCAATCTATAAATTTTGTATTGAAAAAATCAAGGTTGTTAAGTTCATTTACACAAAAGAATTAAAAGTACAATTGCAACATGAAGAACAACAAGAAAGGTACAATGGCTTAACAACTATTTGTGTACTTTGTACTTGTAATTTTTATCAGTTTATTTTAATTTATATATATCAAATTGTTAATTTTTCAAATCAAATTTGACCAATTAATGTATTTCTAAAACTAAATTTTTTATAAATAATATAATTGCCAAAGTTTAATAAATAAATAATCATCAGTTTCTCACTTTTCAGTTTTATGTAAAAACAAAACAGGATGCGTTTTTCAGCCTTCTTAAAACAGGATGTGTTTTTCTTGTAACCTTTTCTGTGTATTTTTTATTTTGATCATGTAACCATTTCTGTATATTTTTTATCTTGATCTTGCAACCTTTTCTATGTATTTTTTGCATTTATAGTTGACTTTTTTTTTTAATTTTATTTTTTTCAAATGTCAGGCTTGTTTGGAAATAAAACACCTGCAGCTGGCACATTTGGTACTCCTAGCTTTGGTTCTAATACTCCTGCACAAGGTAGTCTGTTTGGTTCAGTTTCAACAGGAACTAATTTGTTTGGTGCAAAAACTACACAACCTTCAACAGGTACTATAGGTTTTATTCTTTTTATAAAATGTTGAACTAGTTTCATAGAGTACAATTAATGCAGCTGTTGTTGATGATGATGTACCTGTCCTGATGTACCTCATGATGAAGTACCTGTCAGTACTTTGCTTCCTTTCTTCGAGTATTGTCAAAGTACCTGTCAGTACCTTAAATTATAACTCTAACTCATCTAACTTTGGGAAAATATGTTTGTAGTAAATTAATAATAGAAATGTGTTTGCATTAAGTTAATAATAAAAATGGTTTAATAACAAAAAACAAAAAAACAGTGCATTTTATAAGACAAATAAAGAGTAAAAAATAAAATGGCTGTATTTCTTTCTTTACAGCTGTCAAGAAAACAAAATGTTATTTTTAAAATTTATTTCATTTATGAAATTTAATAATTTTCTTCAAAATTTATTAAATCAATATAAAACATGTTTTTAAAGATAATTGTCTGAATATAAAAATATTTTATAGTAATGTATTATCTTTAAACATGCTCAAAACAAATAAGTTTTGGCGTTAACAATTGAATAAATATCCAAATAAGTTAATATATATTTGTCAACAATAAAATAAGTAACAAAAAAATATAGGTGTCAACAATTAATTGGGTAAATATCAAAATGAAGAAGTATATATCAATAAATATCAAAGTGAGTTCATTAAGTTAAGTAAAAAAAAAAGATTTATTAAAAATAGATGTTACTTATCTTTTTTGATAAATATATTATAACATCAAACATAATCAAACAATTGAACATAATAGTAAACAGTAGTGCCTGTCTACATAAATATACTTAGAATAATATAATAATGACTGTCTATATAAATATATACTTAAAATAATATACTAATGACTGTCTATATAAATATACTTAGAATAATATAATAATGACTGTCTATATAAATATACTTAGAATAATATAATAGTGGCTGTCTATATAAATATACTTAGAATAATATAATAATGACTGTCTATATAAATATACTTAGAATAATATAATAGTTGCTGTCTATATAAATATACTTAGAATAATATAATAGTGACTGTCTATATAAATATACTTAGAATTAACAGATAATATAATAGTGACTGGTATAAATATACTTAAAATAAACTATATATAGGTAGCTAATTACAAATAAACTCTAATGGAACATTTTAAAAAAGGTACAGGTTGTAGTATTTGAACCACGGCAACTGAAAAACAAAAATTAACTTAAATTTATTTAACAAAATAAATTTATATCAAACATCAGAAAAAAAAGTTTGATGTTTAAAAAAATTCATATTTGATGTATATAAAAAACTCAGTTAAGATAACAAAAAATTATGAAATTCTTTTATTAATTGATAATGAACTTGATAATTATAATACTTTGCATCCTTTGGCATCTGTAATATCTCATCATTTGTCATCAACTGTAGTTTCTCACCATTTGGGTTTGTGTGAAGCTCTGTGTCAAAATATGCGAAAAGGCACTAACATTAAGTTCAATATTATACTTAAAATTATTTAAGAATTATTGTTTAGTAAAAAATTACCTTTAAATAGCTTCAATTTGAAGTATTTGTAATATCCTTCAAGCTCTGCTTGAAGGATATTACAAATACTTCAAATTGAAGTATTTGTAATATTAAAAAAAGCCCTTTTGAACAGGATTAACATTAAAAAACATTCCCAACATTTGAAAACATTCCCAAAAGTGATCTAAACACCAATAAAATCCTGCAAGGTGGCTTTTTTTAAACAATTGATCTTTTAAACTATTATATGCAAATTTCTCAAAATATCTACTTATTTTTGTAATTTAATTGATACATGGTTGGTTGGTTTTCAAATAATATTATTGTGGAGATTAATTGATAATTAATATTGTTTTAAATAAAGTCTTGAAATATGTTTTATTGATTATATCTATGTTTAATATTTATAATTTTTATAGATTATATTTTCGCTAGTCTTTTTGTCTTTTTACTTCCTAAAATATTTCTTAATTTTGGCCAGACATAGCTAGTAAGTGAGCGGGGCCCCAAAACTGGCCCTGGCTAGAAATAAGACTTTTTGTAAACCCGGCCCCAGCCCTTTTTCTCAGCAAAATTATAAGATTTAGGAGGGGTTAATAGCCAGGGCTAGAAAAAAATTTAGAATATTTTATATATCATAATTTTATACTTACATTTACTATTTATTAAATACTGCATATATTTATATATTTTTAAACTCTAATTTATTTTCAACATGATTGCAAGCAACCACTATTAAGTTCTGAGTAACTTGAAAATAGAGAATAGGGTTAAAAAGCTAGGAAACGGTTATCTGAAGACTTAAAAAGTTTTAGGTTATATAAAAAAGGAAAACATGAAGATGGCTAAGAGTTATAAAGTTTTTTTGATGTGCAAGGAAAAAAACTGGATTAATAAACGTTTTTATAGCATGAAAGGATAGATACAGTAAAAAAAAGCAGCTTGTTGAATAAGAAGCCAAGCAAGAATGAGTTTTTGTTTATCATAATAGAGATGATAGCTCATTTGAGCATTGACCATGACAGGCCTTGCAATAAAGCGTCGGGCGATGTGAATTTTACGTCGTCCAAGAGCGATTTTGCGTGTAGCTAGGGCTATTTGCGTCGAGCAAAAAATTTTTTGTTTGAGTATATTTAAAGATATTTTTGAGCGGAATTTTAATGAAGTAATTTACGATTATTTTAACATTTAATAAAGTATTTTAAAAACCGCACGCAGTTGAAATAAAAGTTTGAATTGAAAAAAATTAAATATGCTCATTATTTACAAGTAGAAAAAATTCAGATTAAAAACAAAGTTTAAATCTTTTAAGCTAACATTTTAATAAAATTATTCAACAATAGCAAAGTTGTCGATAAAATTGAACAAAAATACTTTCTTTTAGTTTTAGATTTTAAACTTAAATAATTATTTTACGGGGGTTTGTTAGGTTTTAAAACTATTCCATAGATTTAAAAATATTTATTAACTGTTAGTTGTATTTAAAGTATTTAAGAGTAATTTCGAGGAAACATTTTAAAAATTGGTGAGCGCAAATAAAAATAAATAAAAGAATTAATATTAAAACTTATTCTACTTGATTCAATAAATAAGTACAGTTATTAAAGTTTTTGTAAAAAGTAACTCAAAAAAATTACTTAAATAATAACGATCGCTTTTAAGTTAAAAGTTACCGAAACTCAACGAAGCGTGCTCAAGAACAGCTGCTGAAAAATAGAACGTCAATAGTTTTTCGAATAATTTTTAATAATAATTTTTTGGAATAATTTTTTCGCTGAAATATTTCTTTTATACCTATAAGATTTTTATTCTAACATTTTATTTTATTTTACTAGAAATAAAATTCCTTGTTAACATTAAAAATCTATTCAAAACGTTCGTTTAAGTTTTTTATTAATACGAGAAAAAAAATCAAATATTAGCATATTTTATAATCTTTTTTAAATTTTAGTTATAATGTTTTTTATTTGTTTAGTATAGACAAAACGTGTCAAATGTCGAGAAAATAAACAAATGTTTTTACATTTTAAAAAACGAAACATTTCAAAACATTTTTAAATAATAACATTTCTGCATTAATGATTTAAAGTAGTTTTGCGGTAATTAAGTAAATTGGTGCAGTTAATGTCGAAAAATATGAAAAGCAAATAAAAAGAATTTAATGACGTCAAAAATCACGTCGTGTTTACGCGTCGCGCAGTTTTTATTCATCACAAGGCCTGCCATGATAATATTAGTAGAAAAAGAAATCAATGCAACCTTACTACAATGGGAGAGTGGTTCAAGCTTGGCAGATAAAGCAAGTCTACAATTACATTTACAATGTGCTTTTAGCCTTTGCCTACTTGTTCTAAGCAATCAAAAAGTGAAGACTTTTTGTCAAGACATGAGTATAAAGTTTAGTCATCAGCGAATAGAACCACTTTAGCTGTAAAAGGTTGTTATTGTAGATAAGAAACAATACAGAAGCAAAGATAGAGCCTTGTGGCAACCTTAAAATTACTTGAAACGAAGAATAGTGTAGGCCTTCAATAATAACCTTAATACTGCAGTTAGAAAGAAATGACTAAATAATCTCAAAAGCTTTGAGAGATTAATCGTAGGAAAGTTGGAGAGGTCAAAAAGTTTTCTTGAGTTTTTAAAAATTGGAACCACTTATTTAGCACTTAGAGTTCTGGGGAACACTTTTTTAAGACTATGATGAAAATCTTATCCAAAGCACCAACTGTAGACACGTTTAATTGAAAATTAGCTTTAGCATTGGAAGTTAGAGTGATTTAGATGTTTAACAATGGGTTAACCTGTTTAACTAGTATGGCAGGAAGAATATGACCATTAGATTCAAGAGTCAAGTTAGAGGAAAAGTTCTTTCCAAATAACTCTACCATATTCTAGGGAAAAGTAAAAAGATCAGACCTATTAAGAAGAGATTAAATGTTAGACTTACCTTAGTTAATGACACTGTTGAAGACATTCCAAAAGTCTCTAGAACCTAACATCTGAAATAAGATACACAATTTAGTAAACTGAAAATAACAGAGCTTAACATTGGACAGGATCTTTTTACATTGGCTTCTTGCAATAATAAAACTACATTTAAAAAAATTTCTTATTGAACAACAGTTGTTAAAGAAGATTAAAGTGATTTAAGTACCAGCACATAGAAAGAGGTAGCAGGTTCAGGAGAAAATGGTAGTGAAAGAAGTTTGAAAAAACTTCTAGAGAATGCTATACATATTATATAAATGAGCTTTAGTTAAGGAACGAAAATGCTCCAGATTGTTCATATTAGAGAAACAGCATAAAAGAGAAAGGCTAAAGCCTGATGATGATGATGGTGATTATGATGATGATGATGAAGATGATCATTAAGATTATGATGATGATGATCATGTTGATCATAATGATGTTTATACATGCATATATATATACCATAGAGTTTTTTTTTGGGAATGCTCAGAAT